TAAGAAAGTAAGGAAGTTTTAGACCTTAGGCTTACGTGATTCAAAGTCAACATCTACTGCTTGAGGAGTCCAGTGGGGATAGGTAAGAGCAGACTCAAGAAGTAAAACCAACCGTTCCAATTAAAGGTGGAACAGAGTGCAGGTGGGGGTAGGGGAATTCTGTTTGTAAATGGACATGTTGCATTTGTGATGTTGGATAAGACTGGAATCCCTTAGTCCTTCACAACCAAGACCAGTTTTTCCTAATGATCAATTACTGGCCCTCTGAAAATGTGATCCTAGATAAAGGACAATCATAAGTGTGTGTGAGATGGAAAGTGAACGTATCCCTACATGATTAAAGTTTAATACATGGGGTTTTTAGTTTTTACTATCTGTATAAACATGTATGAAATTTATAAATGATTCTTGCTATACGTATCACTCTGCAACTTGTAGGTTTTTTTCCCATTGAACAGTATTTTATGGATACCTCTTCAGGTCATTTCATAAGAGTACTGCCATGTTCTTTGTAGAAACTACTGTTTCATTGTGGACACGTGGTATAATGGTCCCTATTGATGGATGGTTGGACTGGCTTTCAGTGGGTGAATAGATATTCTTAAGCAGGATAAGAAGGGACAAGAGACCTTTAAGTCATCAGCATTATATGGATTGGTGGCACAGATAGTTGTATATACTTCTGGGCTCTGAGCGATTCAGTATCAGGGCCAGAGGGAAGTGAGGCAGATGGAGATTTTTTTGAAGGGGATACTGGGGAGGGGTGGGGACATTGAAGGGTTTTGATGGAAGAAATAAAGTGATCAGATTTATATTTTTCAGCAGTGTCAAGGACAGCTGTGGTGGATAGCATGAAGGAGAAACTGGAGGCAGGGAGCCCATTTAGGAAACTACTTCACCAATCTGGGCCACAGAGGATGGATGGAGATGAGCAGTGCAGGGCCAAGGTCATGGGCATGGAGAGCAGAGGCCAGATTCAGGGCGTATTTGTGGTGGTATTGATAAGATGTGGAGAATTGTTGTGGGAGAGAAAGGATAAGTAATATGGAATATGGATCTCATATGGGTATGATATCTGGCCTAGGAGACTGGTGGGATGGAACATGGAGGATAAGAAGGGGAGCTTCAGAGAGAAGTTAATGAATTCCATTTTGAACTCTCTTCCCTTGTTTTCTGCCTTGCTCCTGTGATACCTGCTTCAAGGAGGAAGCCATTCTTACCCCAGATTCTGTCACCTCAGATTACCCTAGATGAACCCAATGTTAATGATTTGACCAGTGCCCCAGTAGTACTCAGAGCAAGATAAGCTTTAGATGTATGACTGTGGGTTTTTTAAACCTTACCTTTTCTTCCCTCACTTTTATTTAAAAGACAAAATGCTATATCACCAGCTATCAGGTGCTCACATACTTGAAGTTTCAAAGTTTGAAGTGCTGAGAGGTCAAGACAAAAACTTCTCCATGTTGTGGAGTGAGGAGTGGTCTTCAGAAGTCTTGGCCTAAGTGGTGATGGGGGCACTACAAGCCCAGGACCACTTGGCTGGTTTCAGACCAGCTTGGGGAGCAAGAAGGCTCACACTCTGTATTTGCTAAGTTATAATCAGCAGACTACTTCTTTGTGGAAAATGGTAATGAAGCCATTAGGAGAGGCTCACCTGAGGTGCAGCATTGTGGATCGAGGTAATTAAACACCTCCTGAATGAAAGAGGCCAGGGAAGGTTAAGTGAGGAATAATCGGCAGCACAGGTGGCCCGAACGAAGCCTTAGAGGGAGCAAGAGGAAGAACCACAGCGGCTTGCATCATTTCAACAGATGGAAATGTCACCCTATTCCCCGGGAGGGGTAGGATTTTTGTTATTTGGGGGTGGAGGGTAGGCAGTATTTTTAACATTTAAATAAAGCCTGTTTCTTTTTCACATTTTTATTCCAAGTTGAATGTCCATAGCAGAGACTACCCAGCTGCTGAGCGTGGCCTGCATTGCTCCTCAGTGGGCTCTCACCACAGTGGCACCAGAGCTTTGTGTCCAAGGAAGGGTGGTGGTGGTGTGTGTGTGGTGGTGGCGATGATAGTGTATGTATATGTGTGTGGTGGTATGTGTGTGGTGGCGAGGGTGTTCTGGTTACCTAGTGCTGCTGTGATATGAATATACCACAAATGGGATGGCCTCAACAAACAGGAGTTTATTCTCTTACAGTTTGGGAGACTAGAAGTCCAAGTTCTAAGTGCCAGGCTCTAGGGGCTATGTGAAAGCCCTTGACTTTGGGCTTCAGTTCTGCCTCTTACTCCCAAAGCTAGAGTCGTCTCTTCACTCAGGCAGCCACTGGCTGCTGAGGCTGACAAGCCCAAGGTTGACAAATATTATGGTACAGTCCCAATGTTACCAAACCACATGGCAGGCCATTAATTCAAGTCCGTTGTAAGTCCCAAGGCCAGCAGAGCATAGCAGGCTGCTGAACATGCAGGGTCCAAGCATGCCATAAGCTAGAAGCCATTCCCAAAGCTGCTGCTTATATACAGGAAGCAGACCACATCCCTAAGGCAGCTACTCAGCTGCTAACAGTAGATTCAACCATGGAGTTGATTATCAGTCTCATCATAGGGAATACTACATCCAGCTGCCCAGCCACTCAACCAGGCCCAGCCAAGTTGATACACAAACTTAACTACCACAGGGGAGGTTACAATAAATTGGTTCTTTACACCCAGGTGTGAGACATACTCCAAACTGCTTACAGAGGGGCTTTGTTTTCCTCGGCCCACTTGCAGCAGGAACGGGATAGCCACCCCCTCTATGCTTCTGACATATCAAAGGACATCACTCCACTTTCACTAAGTTACCCATCCAGGCAAACGGCAGTCCCTTAAGCCACAGCATAGATTTCCCCCCAAGACTCAGCTAACATTATTGATGGTTTACTGTGTGCTAAGCACTGTGCTATGTGGCTTTCAAGTTATCTCCGTTACATAAAGTCTAGCAACTTAAGATTTTGGTTTTCTTTGCCTCGTGTTCTTGCCTCAAAATCTCTGCTGTCTCCACACGAAAACTTATACATGAATGTTCATAACAGCATTATTCATAATAGCCAAAAAGCTGAATGTCCATCAGCTGATGAATGGATAAATAAAATGTGTATCGATGCAATGGAATATTTATTCAGCCATAAAAAGGAATAAAGTGCTAATACATGCTGAAACTTGGATGAACCTTGGAAACATCATGCTGAATCAAAGAAGCCAGTTGTAAAAAACCACATATTGTATGATTCCATTTATATGAAAGGCCCAGAACAGGCAAATTGATAGAGACAGAACATAGATTAGTGGTTGCCCAGAGCTAAGGTTGGGCAAGGTGGCAGGGTTGGTGGAGGATGCTGCTAATGTGTAATGGGTTTCTTTTTGGGTTGATAAAAATGTTCTGGAGTTACATAGTAGTGGTGGTTGTATGACCTTATGAATATACTTAAAAGCACTGAATTATATAACTCATAAATACATAAAATAATGAATTTTATGATATGTGAAGTATATCTCAATAAACTAAATAAGCTAAAAAAAATTTATCATAAGCTTGGTATCAAGAATAATATCCGTGGAGAATTTCTAAAGTATGTGGAGTTCATCAGTCCATTTCAAGTCAGTGATTTTTAATATTTTTAGGTTCACAAGCACCTTTAGGAATTTTAAGAAAGCTATGAATCATCTACCCAGAAAAATAATCATCAGTCATTCATACCAAAAATGTCACACTAGCAGTGTCATATGTACTGGTATTTTCCTCACTACAATGTAAGCTTAATGAGGCCAGGACCTATGTCAGGTTTGCTCACCTTTGTATCTTTGTATCCTCAACACCTAACATATTCCTGGACATATAAGAAATATTGATAAGGAGTGAATGAATGACTTGCGCAATTCCAGGAGCACCTTTCACATGGAACACAGTGGGAATGGTGTCCCCTAAAGTTGTACAATATGGCATACCCAGATGATGGACATGTTGAAAATAGTCCACCAAAAACCAAACCAAACTCACTGCCATTGAGTCAGATCCAAATCATAGTGACCCCTCCTTGGGTTTCCAAGGTGGTATCACTATGGAAGTAGATTGCCCGACCTGCCTTCCGAGAAATGGCTGGGGAGTTTGAACCGCCAGCCTTTTGGTTATCAGTCAAATGCCTTAGGCACTGTGCCACGAGAGCTCCCAAAAACAGTCCAGGAAGCTTAATATTGTCTTCAATGTTGAGAATAACCACCATATCACACAGACTTTCCTACACTGAGGACTCTTATGGAAAGTCTCTTTTAGAACTCATTTTCTGGAAAATCTGTGTTCATTTGAGCAACTGAGGAGTTCGTAAACCTGGATGGGCCCAAGAATTCTGTTATCTTTTCATGTTCCCCTCTTTGCTTTGGCCACCAGGAGGCTCTAAAGTAAATCTGCAGCTCATTTCTAGCCACCACGTAAGGACCTTATGCCTTACATTTGTACACCGAATGTGTACCTGGTCATTCTTCTCCCATTGCTATGATTTTCTTGTTTGTTTTTGTTTTAACCTATTGAGTATGTATCAAGCTGCCACTATTCCTTTGGAAAATAAGACTGCAATTCAGTGTCCATCTTGGCTCCTTCTTGGGTTTGTTTCTAAGCATGTTCCCTAACTTCTCTGAGCCTGCTTCCTCCTTGTAAAATGGAAACACTAATCCTTTCCTCACAGGATTATTAAGAGAATTAAAGAAAGAAAATTTATGTGAAAGCCCTTACCTGGCACACAGTGACTGCTGGGGGGAAAAAAATGAGACATGCTGTAATGGGAGCAACATTCATTTAAATTTCAAAAACCTGCTGTAACACTGAATGCATTTTTGTTCTCCCTGTAGCTGAGGTGTCCAATCGATCCCCCATTCAAGGGATCTTCTAGCACTGGGTATGGACTGGGCTAAAACAGCCATCCTCCTTCGACCCCGTCCTCAATCTGTGCTGCTTTTCTCTTTGTCACCAGATTTCTTCACTAAAGAACAGGCTAAAGAAGGTCTCTACAACCACCGGTGATGGTGTGGCCAGAGCGTTCCTCAAGGCCCAGGCTGCCTTCTTTGGTAGCTACCGAAATGCTCTGAAAATTGAGCCGGTAAGTAGCTTCTTGGCATGTTACAGAGTTTAGTGTTTGGCCAGGGCTGAGAAACATACCTTAGGGACCATATGAAATCCAGCAAATCTTCTGGTTGCTGAATGCACCTAGAAGCTGTGGGTGTGGGTGTGGGTGTGGGTGTGTGTGTGTGTGTGGGGGTGTGTGATAGGGGCTGCAGACCGTCTTCCCCTTGCCCTACCTCTTAGTTCAAGAAAGCCATTGTGTCATATGAGAAATAGTAACCACTCCTGTGAATGTTCAGATACCCTCCACCCACACTGAGCCCCAACTGCATGTTAGATACAGTACTAGGCCCTCATACACCTGTTCTCATTGAGTCACAATAAGCCTGTGAGTTTGCATCGGATGTCTCTACTTTACAGATGAGGAGGCTGGGGCTCAGAGAAGACACATGATTTGCTAAATGGTAGAGGAGCCAGATGGTCTCAAAGCCCATGCTTTTCCCACTGTGTATCATTCCCCTTTTCCTTTAAAGAGACCTCTACTCCACACTTGAGATCACAAAGCATCCTGAACATTGACTTCTTAAAGGCTCCTGCAAGTGGTCATGGTATAAATGACTGCAGAGCACACTGAGAGCTGGGTAATATTACCCACCTCCCCAGTGCTTCACCTCACTGAGCCTCTGTTGATTTACCCACATCCCCTGCCTGCCTTTCAAGATGGTTAATTACTATGAAGATATGGAGACACCCAGTCTCCCCTAAAACCAAAGAAAGTACTAATTCTCCCAGCTTCAGTAAGAAGCTTTCATCGCATACCCCTCAACTAGGCCTCATGATCAAGGAAAATGAAGAAACTGGTCTTGGGACCTCTGGGACTCTGTATAAGAGAAAATGTTGGAGGGGAACTTCGCTTGACAGCCCTGTCTCTCAGAAGCACAGGGGTGATCTTGAGGCTGCTCCCTTCATCCTAAGGAGGTTGGTGATGGCAACCACACCCTAGCCTAGCCTGAGGAGTGCAAGGGAGCAGCGTAGGTTAACTGCCTGTAGGCTAGGATGTTTATTTCTGTTTTTATTTTAATCCATAGCATTTTATTAAATTAAATGACAAAAGATGAGTCGATATCAGGTGATGCATTTCATGTAAACAGTGAACTGTGGTCACACATACTTCTTGTGAACCACAATTATACATTGTTAATGTCTCTTTTTACTGCTGTGACTCCATTGTGTGTCTAAGATAAACACACAGAGCATTCGGAAACCGCTTGTTTTCCCTTACCTGGGTATATAATCTCTATGAAGTAGTCAATGGAGTGGGTGCTCAGGGAGCAACTGTCCAGTGTCACGTTATACCTTGTTTTCCATCTGGCACTTAGGCCTTTCTAGGCTACCTCAGCTTTGGACAGGGTTACGTTTACATGGTCACATAACAGAGGGGATACACTTAACTTTTTGCCTCCCAAGAAATACTTCCCTTAGTTCTTTCAAAGCCCTCAGCTTGAAGCAAGTTCCCCATTTCCTGCTTGTCTTGAAGAGAGGCAGCTCTTAATCTTTGCCATTATTTTGAGCTGAGCCAAATCAGAGGTGAGTGGTGATTTGAAAGCTGGTGTAATTCAAGGAAAATACTGCTGATTTCCCCATCTCTAAAACAGAGAATGGACAACTGGCCCAATTCCTTGCTTGGGTTGCTGGGAACGTTGACAGACACAAAGAGTGTTCACTCTTACAGTTGTCTCATTGTTATGTACGTGTGTCTAGAATCCAGAGGCTGTTGACTCGGGTCAACATACTGCTGGGTGAGTGATCTGGGCACAAGTTGCTCCCCAAGCAGAATTTATGCCAGTACTTGCACTTGCCTCAGAAAGGCACTAGATTTGAGGACAGGAGACCTGGATTTTAGGGGCTGGCTCTGCCCTTCTTAGCTGTATCATCTGGAACAAACTTGATTTCTTCACTTGCAAAATGAGGGTAAGAATACCTGTCCTTTCTATGTCTTTAGGTTGTTAGCAGAATCAGATGAGCCATGAAACTTGAATGGGGTCTGATGGGTTTGGAAAGAGAAAGGCAGAGGACTCCTTCCTGGAGGGGTGTACAGTTAACAGAATGAGCAAAGGCATGGTGGCAGAACCCTGCAAGGCCAGAGAGTTGGCAAGTTTGGCTGAAGTAATGGCTTTGGGTGAGGAGATGGGGCTTCAGGAGAGGTGGGAGCCAAATTCTCCAGAGCCTTGGCTGGTAGCCTAGGGTAGTCAATGTCACCCTATAGGTAGAAGTTTTTCAGTAGGAGTGCGACATGACTGAAGTCATGTTTGAGGGGAGGGTGGCCTCAAGGCTAGGGAAATTGGTGCTTTGGTTAAGCCTGCTGGGGGTGGCAGGCAGCACAGTGCTGAGAGGATAGAGGGGCCTCTCCAGGAGCACTTGTCTTTCAGTTTATTCTCTGGTTACAAAATCATCTGCTCTTGGTAAGAAAATGCTTAAAGTTCTGAGGACTAGAAATGAGAAAATACCCATAATCCATCCTATCATTGGAGTTCAAATAATGTTAGCATATTTTCACTTGGACTCTAGGGTTTTGCATTTGTTTTTGTTTCGATTTTAGGGTTTTTTTTTTTATTCCCTTTTAGACAATTGAAATCTTCCTGGCAAAGAAATCCATTATTCAGGTTATTTATTTGTTTTTGCCTTTTAGCGCGTTGTGAAGATTTTCTCCACATAATAAAGAAACTCTCCTTAAATGCCATTTGTCCTAGCTGCGTACATCCTGTCAGATGACTCCAGGGGTTCAGTGGATCAGGGTCACCTTTGGGGCTTTGAAAAATGCAGCTGTCTAGGCTGTACTCCCAGAGATTTCTATCAGGTTCCATGTTCTACAGTTGGTACCAAGGCCCACCACGTTATCCTAGTGCTGGTCCTTCTGATTTTCGGTCATATTTTACCATTTTAAACAGCACTGCTGTGAACATCTACATATAAATTTTCACTCATGGTTTGAATTGTTTCCTTAGATTCCCTAAAGTTGATTTGCTGGGTCAGAGAACCCAAATGGATTGAAAGCCCTGTACAACACCATGGTGAGGTAAAGCTGGTGGCCAGAACCACGTTGTAGTCTAGAGAAGAGCTCTGAGGCAGGGCAGGGCGTGAGCAGCAGCCGAGGAGTATGGAGGCCAGTGGGAGGCTGAGGGCAAAGAGCCCTGTAAGGTGGGAGGCCTGGGAGACGTGTATGTGGAGGCCAGACTGGCACTGGCCCTGCCAGTCCTTCTAGCTTACTGGTCTTGCCACTTTATGGTATGTGTACCCACAAAGCTTGTCGTGCTGGTGTGGTGGGCCTGTAGGGTGCAGCCATGGGACCCAGTTACTGCAAAGGCACATGGTGTTATTTTGTGGGTTGGGTTGGGTTTTTGTTTTGTTTTTTAATATGAAACATGGCAAATTTGAGTGTGTTCCTTTTACTTGGCTCCTTACTAACTTGTGACTTTGAGTAGTTACCTCACTTCTCTGCTTCTCAGTTTTTCCTTCTGTAAAATGGATGTGGAATCCCCTGGTGGTAAGATGAAAGTGAAGATTAAATAAGCAGCCCAGGGCCCCCACCTCTGCTTTGCTGACAAGGACCCCACAGAGCCTGGAACCATACCAGGATGGCTCCTTCTTAGTTGCTCAGTGCCCATCTGGCTCTGTGAGAAGGGGTCTAGCCCAGTCTGAGAGGCAGAGACCAGCTGCTTCCTCCATGGTGTGATCTAAGGATCCTTCCCCTGGCCCATAGCTCACATGAAATTTTTAACACTGTGGCCTTTTTTTTTTTTTTTCCTCAAACTGGAGACATTTCAAGATGCAGCTGGCCGAGGGAGACTTTTATGCTTTATTTTCTTTCCCCTTCCCAGAAAGGGAAGAGGAAGGGAGCCCCACTTCTGAGCCCCAGCCAGGACCATGCCTTCTGCACATTTGTTGGGATGAGCCCTGTGTTCACTCACTAGTGGTGTCTGTCTTCAGGGCCAGGTAAATTATGTCAGAGGCATCTCTTGGGGGTCAGAAAGTGAGAAGTCAAGGACATTCAGCCACAGCCAAGTCTCCTGCCTACTCAGTGGCTCCTGTCCTGGTGGGGCTCTGTTCAGCTCCAAGTTGCTTTGCATACATGATCTCAGTTATTCCCCATGACTGCCCTCAGAGGCCAGCAGTCCTCGGTATCCATTTTATACATGGGGATGGAGACTTAGGTTGGTGGTGACTTCCTGGTAAGTAGTAGGGTCCTGATGCAAACTCAAGTCATTGTCCTGACCCCAAACCCAAGCTCCTCTTCCACACCTTGCTGCTTTTGTTCTGGTGTCCGCAATATCTATCGCTTTTTCTCTGCACTTTCAGTGCCTGGCACGGGTCATGGCAAAGTGTAGACAACAATGAGTCTGTTTTGGAAGAGCAGATGGAAGGATGGATAAGAGGAATTAAGGACCAGAGAAATGGTTGAGACGGGGTGACCTCAGCCTGTGCAGCACATATCTGTGTTGCATCCTGTCCTGCCTTTGGGCTTTGGAGGTTGCTGCTACCTGGCAGAGGAGAGGGCATCTGCAGATCTCAAGGGCATAGGACTCACTTTCCGGTTACCCTAGAGAAGATCATGTGCAAAGCCCAAGATATTTAACAATATTGGCTAAGCCAACTTGTTCTCCTCGGCTTTAAATGACAGTGCCACAGCAGCCAGGCAGCTCCATTCAGAGAAGCCCCCTTTATCCATGTCAAGCGGCAGCCCAGCCTCCAGCTCATTTATTTAGGCCTTTCTTGCTCTCTGACACGCCTCCTGCCAGTTGCCAGGCAACTCTGGGAGTAGCAGTGTGTGCTAGGGATTAACTAGTTAGGGCTGGGGTCCTTTTTGGCAAGAAGGGGATAAAAGACAAATGATTTTAATTGCCAGGCCAACAATCCTTTCTCTGCCTTGTGGAACATTGCAACCTTTGGAGGATGTGGGTAGCAGTGTGGTTCATGCATTTGCCATAGACGTTCCCCTTTTCTGCCTCTGAGGGAGAATGAAGGAATTTTTTGAAGAAT